ATATAAATATATATATAGATATCAGGACACACAGAAAAGCATAATAAATGACGAGCAAGGAAATCATTTCGCTCGCTCTTAGACTAAAAACACAAATATATATATGTATATATACATATATATTGTATGTGTGTGTGTGAGAGTTATTATTCAACATCAAATTCAACGTCTTGGCTTATCGCCTTGGCTGTGTGTGTGTGTGTGTGTGTACCTGTGACACACAAAAAGCAGCTGCTGCTGCTCCTGCTGCTACTCCTGCTACGGTGGCGTATACGCAATATCCCTTTTGCACAGCCAGAAGGAAGCGCGCCCGCCTCCTTTGACAGTATAAGTATATTTTTATGTGTTTTCTTGACTGAGTCGCCCGGCTGCCTTTTGTTACATATACATGTACATATATACATATAAATGTATATATATGAGGGCAGGAGCATTCACTGTGCTGAATTTTTCACGCTTTCACTTTTTGGCAAAGCTGTCTGGCAATTACAAAGCGACGTCAGGGGGCAGGACTCGGCTTTATGGGGCACTTGTTACACTTCATAAGACAAATCGAAATGAGAGTTCATTTCACGTACATACATACATACATACATATGTATGTATTTTGGCCGGCTGCAAATACATGGAAATATGTTCGGTTGGGCTAGTCAGCTAATCTAATCGAACTGCAGCTAGAGGAAATATTTTGGCTGAAATGTGTGTCAACACGCGCTTGATAAGCATTCTCTATCAGCTACGCGACTCTATGTATGTGCATAAATATGTACATACATACACATGTATGTGTGTATATACATACATAAATAAATATTAAATAAAATCAAAACAAGAGCAAATCAAAACTGAGCAGAGTAAAATAAAAATACGACAATCTCTGCGAACTTTGTTTAATCTTAAGATCTAGCTGGGTTGGCTACATTTTCGCTTCTAGTATACGTTCATTACGGCTCTAAAAACATAGCAATATATTATCGATAAATATTTTAGTTTTATAGACATGAAAAATGTATACGATTTTTGTTAATTGTCAGAACTGAACATCTTTAAAGTGACATAAGGATTAGATTATTAAAATAAGGAGCGTTTGTATAATCAAGTTAAGTGGGCTATCGATAATTTATCGATAGTAAAAATATAACAAAAATATGTATATCGATTTATATAATAATATATCGATTCTCACATATAAGAGTTCCACCATATAAGCATTCATTAGTACAATAAACTCATTATATAAGAGCTCAATAGCAGTAGACTTGCTTAGTATAAGAGTTGAATTATATGCTATGAGATTTCGGTAGTATTAATACTAAGATGTATAAGAGTTGGATGGCGTAAGCCTCAAATAATGTAATGACACATAGCAACAATAATAGCAATCGCATAACAGTTGCATCATTCTGATTATTATACACAAACTTGCACATATTTATTTATACCCTGTGAAGGAAATTATGCAATAGGCAAATGATGCAAGTCTTATACACTTGAACTTTTATAATCAGAAGCGAAGTGAAATGCATGCGTAGCATTAATTCAGCCAAATAGTAAACAACAATTGTTGTTATTGTTATTGTTGTCGTTGTTTTTATTTCGCTGATTACAATTTTTATTTCGTTTTATTCTCGAATTCCTTTTTTATTTTTTGCTTTTTTTAACACTTGATACAACAGAAATTGGGTCACAAGCAACAACAAAAAAAAAAAACTTGAGAACGCACAATTTCATTCTACATATACATAAATATGTATATATGTAAATAAATAGTTGAATACATATATACGCTGATAAACATAAGGGAAAAGAAGAATAACAAATGGCAAACTAATTGCCAAAGCTTGTTTACGTTCTGCCTCGCATATTCTGCATAAATGTATGCATGTACATACAGATCTATGTATATGTGTATGTATACATAAATTAAACGTTTATAATAAAAAATTTAAAAATCCGCTCGAAACGCATTTAATGCACTTGAACATTAATTATTGTGCTGACACATATGAAAGCTGTCCATATACATACTTATATATATGTGTGTGTATGTGTATGTGTATCTATACATCTATAAACTAATCTCGAACACGTCTATTCGATGATTCATTTATTTATGTTTTTATGCACGCTTCGAAATTTGTAAAAAATATTCAATTCCAATGGGCTCTCCAGCAGTCAAGGTTCTTTTCATCAGATAGCGCCAATTGGGGCTTATTTAAGTACTACAAATGCTGATAAGGCAACGGTTCAACTTTTATGCAGTGCAGTGTTTGTTACGCAGTAGAAACTAACTTTTTAAACTATTATTAAATATTAGCTCAAGCTTTACTCAACTTCTTTATTATGTATATAAGACGAGATGAAGCTTACAAATCTGAATCAGATACTGGAGGGGTAATCTATAGCTAAATTTAATCATCATATTATGTTTAAAGTCAAAAAATGAACTTTTATTTATTTAAAGATTCAATCTAAAATCAGTCAAAGACAGAAGATGCAATAAATGAAAAAAAAAAGAAATAAAATAAAAATTAGAAACTGCTAACAAACTTTGAAGTATCTGAAAAAGCTTTTAGAAAAAGTTTTATCTTAATCTTTTTTTATTTTAAACGGTATTTTTGGCTACGTAAAATATGAATTATTTGTGAGCTGAAAGCTTTCTGTTAATACATACATGTATAAAATTTTTCTTTGCTTGATATTTTTTGTTTTTATTAAAAATATTGCGCTTTCTCTAATTTACCAAGTATAAAGTTTGTTTTATAGCTTAAACTCAACCATAAAGTTATCATATTCTTTCCAAGCTGCAAACGTTTACAACTACATCTTGATAATACACATATGGATTTATTATTCCTTAATTCCTTAATATTTAGATTAATTCTGAACAACTTTAATGCAGCTTCTGCCCACAGCTTCTATATAAATGAAGTATTTCTTTCTGGCCAAAGGCTTTTAAGAACTTGAATCACTGCTAAAGCCGCCATCCATTAGTGAACTTCATACCTTGCAACGACTAACGGTAAAACAACCCCCAGCAAAAAAAAAGACAGCCAAAATGTACTCGACTGCATGCGAAATGGCCTAAGGCCAAGCAAATGTTCATTTCGCAAAAATTTTCATTTCTCAAGTGCTAAAAAAGCAACCCCAACCAATGAGAAAAAAATTGCCAAAAAACACACATGAATATTAAAAAACAATAATAAAAAAATATAGAAAAAAAAACATAAGCTATAATATTTGCTTTGTTCCGAAGGGCTGGCAAATATTAAAGGCTTCATTTCGAAAAGTAAAAAATTTCGAATGTAAAATCAAACATATGAATCAGAAATCATCTATATATATACATATATTTGTATATATGTATGTCTATATATAGATTAAAACCCACAATTAAAAGCAGCCAAAAAAGAAAGCCTAAAAAAGCAGAGTTTTTCTTTTTCTATACATTTTTTTACTTGGGTCTTCATTTCAAAATTTTAATCAAAAGTAGTAGCACTTCGATTGATATGGATGACAAGGGATTTTATTTGGTTTTTTATTTTTATTTTTATTTTTATTTTTATTTCTTGTTGTTTATTTTTTGGCTAGCCAGGATATGCTCAGAGCAGACAGCAGAGCTGCCTTCTCATAGAGAGCTAAATACACATACACACATATACGTACATACATATGTATGTATGCTATTTATATAGCCATAATCCATCCATCCACACAGTTGGCCAAAAATATGCACGGACTACGTCAACAAAACAGACATGTGAAGCGTACAACTGGCCGTTTGCTATTTCAATAACGGTAAATACGCGACGGAACATGTTTTGGGAGAGAGAAAAACACGGCAAACAGGGCGTATGCGTTATTTTTTTTACAATTCTGTTTTCTTCTTAAATATTAAAACATGCAGCTTTAAGCAAAAATTCTTAGTTAAATCTCCATATATATATATATAAGCATAAAAAGTTTCTAAATATATATAAAATTAAAAAATAAATAAAATTAAACAATATAAAATTTAAATTTAAGCTGAGTGCTTAAGAACTCTGTCAAGGCTATGAAGAAATATATATACATACATACATTTATACACACTTATGTCTTGTCACACACACACGAGCACATTCAATCAAAAGGGTCTACACATGTCTCGGCTAACGGTTAAAAATGAGCTGTCACAGCTGACAACCCGTAGGCCGTAAGCAAATCTCATATCAGACCCGAACCAATTACTGACCTCACACAATGCGACCGCTATAAAATCTATATACACATAAGTACATACATATATCACTTATATATAACCTACATACATACATAATGTCGAGAAGAAGCTAAGCTAAATATGCCGGCTGTGCGCGCGCCTTACGCATTTATATTCATTTAATAAGACGCCATAAAACTGTAGTAAAATATGCTGTAAATGAAATAGTAACACACACACACACACATACATAGCGGCATACATACACACATTGACAGTCAGCCTCACACACACACACACACACACACAGCTTGACAGACAACGAGACGGCCCATAAAAAGGTGGCGCGCATCTTTTGGCCTGCCTTCGGTCTGCCTGTGGCCGCTTTTCCGGCTTTTCCGCATTTTCCACTTTGCCGCCTTGTCGAAAGAAAAAATCAATGCCTGCTTTTGGGCGTTTGCAAAACTGGCTTTTCTGCCACACAATTTTGGCGGCTTATTAGGCAAACGAAAGAAAAAAGAAAAAGGCAGCCAAAGCAAAAAGGTAAAGGAAATTTCATTGTCTGTCTCTCTATCTCTCTCTATCACTTTCTCTCTCTGACTCCGTTTAGCTGTCTGTTGACTTATTGATTGTCAGCCAAATTAAGTGCGTCCCATTTAAGGTCAAGTTTTGGTTTCCTTTTGCATGGAAGCTCAGCATTTGCTTAAATCTTCAATTTGTATGAGCGCTCTGAATTTGTTTAAAATGTAAATGCGAGGGTGGGCTGAAAGGTTACTACATATTTATGAAAGTATACTTGTTCATATACATACATATCTACATATGCAGACATAGATGTAGCTTAAATTTCGATAATGATAAACTTTTTTTCACGTCGCCCTGATCAAGAATGGGCTCTGCCACGCCTCCTTTTGTGTGCTACATGCATTTTAGCATAACCGGCTTTTATTGGAATCAGGATTTAATTCAAATTTAAACTAATTTAAAATTGTTTTTTTTTTTGTTTTTTTTTTTAATTTTGAAATATTTTAATTTCTTATTCCCGATAACCATTTATTAATTTATCAAATTAATAAACAATTTTTAATCTACACTAAAAATCGACTTACTTTTCTTTTAGCTAATTTGAGTGATGCTTTAATTTTGTTTACATTTTCAATTTGTAATTTAATTTTCAAATTTTATTTAATCATTCTCATGCTAAAAGTTTTTTTTTCAATTTAAAAAGTTTAATTACTGAAGTTTGTTTAATGAGTTTTATGATTTGAAAAATATTTCTATATCAATAGATTTTCTATAAGAAAAACACCCCACACCAATTTAAGCATACGTCTAAGACTTATGTGTAATTGCAGTTCCCGTTGCATTTACTGTCAAAATGAAAATCCAGAAAATTCCATCAAAATGAAAATTATACAAATGCAATTAATGTACATCTCTTCTAACTTAATTCTTAAAGATTTAGAATATATGAAAGCTATATAGGGAATATCACTTACCATCGCAGGATAACGTGACATCCGCCAATAGATCCGATTTGAATAGATTGGAGAATGTGATTGCCAAGTTGGACGAGTAACTGTTCCATTTAAGGCAAAATTGTTGTTGTGGATCCATGTTGTTGTTGTACTTGTTCCAGTTGCTCCAGTTCTAGTCGTAGATTCGCTGGATGGATCAAGCCAAGGCCAATGGAAGCTTTCGCCGCTGTCCACAAGTTGCGGACGTTTCTTTCTTTAATATACTCCAAATTAATAATTGTTTTTCTTGTTGTTATTGTTTTAAATGTAGTCGTTTTGTTTTCAATGTTGCCAAAATGGAATTTCGTCGAATTGTTGCTCAGCCGTTTGTGCATAAAGCAATTTTGGCCGCAACCAATTCTTAGCCAAAGGGAATTTTGCAATTGTTTGTTGCGTTTGTAAAGCGTGAACGACGTCCGCTGCCTGCGCATGTAATTTGTTTTATWTATTTATTTCATTAATTGTGATTTACTATTGATGTATTTTATTTTATATAACTGTATATCCGTATTTCTTTTATTTATGATTTGTTTATTTTGGTTGCCAGTTGAAATTCAGGACGCGCACTCCGAACACGACAAATGCTGCAACGAGAATGACGAGAAAAATTGTTTTGGATTTTTGATTAGTGAAAGATGAATGCGTTAGTTGACATAACACACATACAACAAAAAAGGGAAAGGAAAAGCAACAGCAATAATACATACACACACATACACACACAGGGAGACAGACTCAAGAAGACAAATTCAGTGCCTGCTTTGCTTTTGCCTTTGCACTTTCTCAGTAAAATGCAACAACAGTAATCAGTAGTCAGCATGTAGTCAGCAGGCCGCACCAGGCATGCAAAGCTCGCTAGCATAAAGCTCTCTCACTCTCTCGCTCTGACTCTCACTAGCTCTCGCGCTGCCTTCGTTCAGTTTTAGAAGCTTCAAATTTCAAAGCAAGGCGAAATCGAACGTAATGCATTTGTATTTGTAATTCTATATTGAGGACGACTGCGAAGACTGCGAGGACTGTGACGACGGTGACGGCGAAGGCAACTGCGACTGCGACTGCGACTGCGGCTGCAGCATACATATTTCCGTTGTTAGCGGCAAGCAGCCAATTTATTAGAAATTAATCGAGCATTTAGTATGCCGGTGTGTGTGTGTGTGTGTGTGTATAGCACCCAAAAGATATATGATTTAATTCCTGGAATTAGGCGCCGTCAAGATGCAACCTCAACTTTTTATTTCAGCTTTTCATGCTTGTTCGAGCAGTGAGCATGGAGTATATTGATTGTGTGCAATATTAAATACTTTGGTGTGAATTTAAATTGATATTAGAAGATTATTGTCAGGGTTTTCTATGCCTATAGTATACATCATAGCATCATCATATGGATATTAATTAAATTTAATCGAACATTTTAATATTTGGCGTATTTCAAGTAACATTTATAGCTACACATTTTAAGCGCAATCAAAGTCCCCCGCTTTTCCCTTTTCGCATGCGCCTTCGTAGTGGTCAGCGTCTACAGTTACTCTACGTTCGCGCTCTCCCTCTCTCCTTTTCTATGCTTTTGCGTGCTTAGCCTTGGAAGCGCTGCCCAATTCACAATTCCTGGAAACTGCAGATGATGGACAGCAGCGACTGCGGCTGCGGCTGCGGCTGCGCGTTGCATGGGATGCGCTTTTTTTCCTCGAATTTGTTTAATCGTTAGAAAAATGCGACCGCGTTGCTTTTGACTTTATTTCTCGTTTTTTTTTCTCTCCTTTTTTGGTTTGCTTGCCTGCACCCAGTAAAAGCAACAGCAGCAGCAACAGCAGCAGCAACGGCAGCAGCAGCAGCAGCTACTGCGACATCGCCCCGCCCCGCAGCAGCGGCTTCGGCTGTGAATTCGCCTTTAGCTCTAACAAAATCAACGGTTTCGTTTTGCCACGTTCAATCGTTGGCCCCCAGAAAGATATCGGTAAAAAGCTATTAACAAATTCCTGCGAAGTTTGCAGTTGTGGCTGGCCTTTTTTGAAAGGTTCCAGCGAGCAGCGGCAGCCGCAGCAGCAGCAGCAGCAGCAACAGACAGCGGGAATTTATAATCGAAGGCTTTGTGTGTGCACCTATGTGTGTGCATGTGTGTGTATGTTTCTGTGCAAGGCTTTGGTTATAACAGTAATTGGCTTGTGCTTGAAAATAGTGAGTTAAATAAAAGAGCCGTGTTGGGAATTACTTCAATTGAACTAGTTACAACCAGATTACTCGAGAGTCGTCTAAAAAGTTGTAACGTGAAAAAAACAAACTATGTTTATTAATTTTAATTTTTAATTGTGTTGGTAAATTTTAAAAATCATTAAAGTAACTAAAATCATATAGACTTCTTAGGTTTTCCTCATCAAATAAATACCATCTAAATCCTAAACAAAACTCATTTCCCGCATACAGACCAAAACTTCCTTTACAGCTACCTCACTATCAATAGTCTCATCCTTGAAAGTTTCTTGGTCTATGTAAAGCTTTGCATGTGACTGTACTTTACTTTGGAACAACAACAAAGCAACATAAAATGTGCGCAGCTGCATTTCAAATGCTTTTTACCCAAAACTTTTGAATTACACAAACAATACAACAACAACAGCAACAGCAACAACAACAGCAACGACAACAGCAATAAAATAGAGCAAATTCCTTGAGATCAGCTCGCCTTGATTCAGTTTTTGGGCAGCCAAAAGACGACACCTGAAGGCAGCTTTTTATTGCTGTTGTTGTCGAGTCGAGTTGAAGGCAAAATAGCTCAGGTATCTCTTAGGCTGAGCGTTGAGGCAAAAAGCAACGCGTAAATCCTTTACACACACACACGCATGAGAGGAGTTCGTTCCTGGAAGACGCACACACAAAGACGCCGAACTGCTTGTATTGATACCCATTGAAAGGGAAGGGAATAGGGTATATAAGCTGTCAAGTGGTAATATGCGGAGTGCAGTTGTCTATGTATACATATATAGAACAGACATACCCTTACAAATGCAGTTCTGCAACTTTTACTGCGCATTGCCCAGTCGTGCATACCCTACTACAGCTCTCTCTGTTTCTAATATACTATTATTGTTATGCTTGTTGCGTTGTCTTCCAACTGGAACAGGAAGATCTTCCCATACGCAATTCGGGGTTGTTTCGCTCCCTCTCTCTCTCGCTCTCTCTGGCGACGCACTTTGCAATCAACAAAAGAATCATAAGAAAAGAAAAGAGGAAGCAGAGAAAAAAATCCAAACAAATCAAATTACGCAATAGCCACAGTCATAGCAGTCGAAGCTGCATTTGCAATCTCCAAAAATAAACCAAAATTGATCGAAACAAAACACGAAAAAAATAAATAAATAAAATATTATATTTAATTGTTATATTTTTCTGGTATTTCAACTAATTGACCTTGTGCACTATTTCGATATGACAAAAAAAAATGTATATAACAATATTATAAACACGAGTCATTTCTCAAGCGTTGCAGTTCATGAAGCGAGTTCTCTTGCCGTCTCGCTTGCACTCGTCTCTGCGCCTTGTCTCCCCATCTCTTTTGCTCGCACTTCAATTTGATTTGAATGTCAATTGATTCAAGCAAATGACGCATTTCATTATAAGCTGCCAGATTTGTGTTCTCATTTTCTTTTTCGGCTTCATTAACTATTTCTAAAATTTTACAAATATATATATTTTTTTTCTACTTATTTCTAGCCTCTTCCAATCGTCGCTCGCTTTGCTGCATAAGATAAAATAGATTTGAATTTTAATATTTTCTCACATCATTCGATTTGTTTATCTACCGCCTCATCCCTGCCCTTGTAAAACCGTCTACATAATAGGAACAGTAACACGGATAACATCACTGCGAACACAAATACAAATAGTAATGTCTCCAATAGCTTTTTCATATCATGATAAGTGAGATCCGCCTCCTCATCGAAATATCGATAAAACAACATTTGTTTTGATTTTGAAATTAATGTTTAATAATTTGTGTACTAAAATATTTTACAATTTTCAATATTTTGATATAGAATTCAGAGTAAAAAAAGATGATGATTGAATATCGAATCGTAGAGTAAAATAAATGGAGAGCAGAGCTGAGTTGGTGTTTAGAACAAGACTGAGAATCGAGTAGAAGGGTTTGTCATATGCAAACATTTCTACTACTATTTTCCATATGGCTAATATTTCTACTACTATTTTGCATATTACGTTGAAGTGCTTAAGAATCGTCGGTTAGAGTAGACGTCAAAGAGATAATTTAAGAATCGAGTAGAAGAGCACTACTCATCACGTGTGTATGAACACCGCTTCGATTTGGAGCTCTTTAAAAGTCAGTCAAGATTATACTTGGCCATAAAATAGAAATTCATAATAATCTAAAAGTTAAAATAATTAATAAGTCGAACTCGTCTACGCTAACCCAAAACGGCTTTACGTAAATCAGAGACTAATTTTAAGAAAATATTTCCTTATAATTCAATTCCCAACGACTTTTTGCTGCTCCAAGCTTTGAGCTTTTTGCTTTCGTTAATGTGGACCAGAAATCTGAACTCATTCAACAATTTGGAGCATTCATAAAATGTGGGCGTGACTACATGCCGAGTCTCTGCTCGATTTTATGCTTGATTACGCTGGGGGCTCGATTGCCGCACAGTTTTCAACAAACTGTCAAACAGGATCGCTGTACTTGACAGTCTGTGCAGACAGACAAACAAGTTTCTAATACATACATATACATATAGTATGTAAGTATTACACATGTTGCATATGCGATTTCTGGAATTAAGGTGAATAATCTCCACATAATTTGTCTAAGAATAGCGGCGAAAACAAAGCCATAACCAAAGGCGCGAGTGCAGCTCGAGAGTTGCCTTTGGGGCCCACCCACTGCGCTTGGCATTGCATAAAATGGGGGGCGTGTCAGCCATAGGGGGCCAATTGGCGGATAAATCATTTGGAATTATGTCTGCTCTTATGGCATGCCGCCAAAACATGTCAAAACATCATCAACAATGCAATGGATTGCATATTGAGTAACTCGAGCCCTCCAGCATAACCTGTTGATAATAGCACACATGTGCATATATAATAGTATGATATAGCATCTATTATGTGAATTGAATAATTGCAGCTGACGTTGCAGTTGAAGGGCCTGGCACAGGCTGCTTTGACATAATATCTTAGTTAATATTTGGCATATGCAATATGCGATAAGGTAAACAAAATGCAAAAGCGTCAAAAGAAAGAAAATATCTCAAGTCGAGCTAGATTTCCCCCAAGTTAAAATCTCGTTACTCTTACAGTGAAGCAACATTTTCATATATATAAGTTTATTTTTTTGTAACTCTTGAAAATAATGCTGTTGCTGGAAATGCAAGTGCATGGTAATAAATGATGCTACAGTCAGACAATGTAAATGAACGACATTTCGGGGTGTTTTCCGCTACGGTGAGCAGAAGCCGCAATGCGCTCAAACATTGTGTGTTAATGTAGATAATGATATATATCTTTGAGATACGCTTGCCATGACGCAATTACGAGCTGTAATTACGACTGCCAGACTTGGAGTTTGTTATTGTTT